TGAACTGTTGTTTAATTAATTTTTAATTAAATGTATTCAAAGTTTATTTTCCTTGGGGTTTTGCATGAAAAAATTTTATTCCATATTTTTTACTTATTTTTATCCTACTTTTACTTTATGTTGAACTGTAGATTCAAATACATTGATATATGTATTTTCAAATTCGATTATTTCAAAAATGTTAAATGGAAAAATGTTATTTTGGCTGTTTGTCACTAGTTTTGGCTGTTCTCATCACCTTTTATATTAAATTCTTTATAATTCTCTGTAAAAATTCTATAGTGAGTTTCTACACGTTTCTTGAAAATAATATTAATTAAATTATGATTCATCATATTCGTTACATTTTGGTAATTATATAATCATATTGTGTGTATTATATAATAATCAATTTATATAAAATTGTATCAATTGATCATTTTATATTTATTTTAATTAAAATTTTTAATTAATCATTGTCGATAGATCTTCTTTACGTCACTGGTATTTTCTCTCTTAAAATATCTTTCTGAAAGTGTTAATATTACTGGATCAGTTTTTGCTAGATTAGAACAAAGTTCAAAGTTATTTGAAGAATTTAATTCATGGGTCACTTTGATGCATAATCTACGTTTTTATAATAAAACATCAGTTACATTATGTTTGGTTAGCTTTAAGTTTTAATTGACCACTGATAAATATTTAATCACTAAATTCTGGATAATTTCATTTATCCAAGAATCAGAATGAATCGTGAAATTCTGAACTCGAATATCGTGTATGCAACAACCTAATACGAAAATCGGCGAATGATAATTAATAATCATTCACACTTATCTAGCTTCTTAATTGCATTTCTAAATGCAATATTGTGGAACATTAGCTTTGAGAATTTAATGAATGAAATTGACTGCGTATAGAATTGAATTTAAACAAAAGGGCCGAACATCCCTCTCTGAGGGAGCAAAAAGGGCAATGAAGTCGAACATTCGCTGTTAAATTTATACATAATAACGGCGATTGAAGTATATGCTACGTTGCACTTGAATTACGCGTAAATCTGTAAACCGGAAGTATATTGAAATTTCGCTTTGATCGCGCTTATTCATATAAATATATCTACAAACGCACAAATGTCCAAATATCCGAACAACTAAATTATCAATATTTGAACATGTTCTTATTAGCGTTAGACAATCATTATCTGCAAACAAATATGGCGGCGAAATATGTCACTAGAGCGATTAATTTAGTCGGTTGTTTTTGTTTTCGTAACTGTATCTTTTACCTCTCTACTTTCAACGATGACAAAAAATTGCCGCGTTCGCCTGAAAGTTGGGCTTTCATTCGGCGCTGGAGAAGAAGAAAGGGGGAAAAAAAATGAAACTAAGGGATCGATAAGAATTTCACTCGGCGAAAGAGTTGGGCAGAGAAAGAAGTTCATCCAATCGTTTCAAAGACGTCTGAAAGTTTCTAAGAGAGAGAGAGAGAGAGAGAGAGA